TAATAATGGTGTGGAAAGGATGGCTAAAGGGGGAGAAGGGAGGCCGTAAAAAAAAATAATAAAATAAATAAAATAAAATAAAATAAAATGGATAAAATGTTAACAAGGGCCAGATTTGAGTTTGACACTTGTGGCCTATAAGCTATATCTCAACTTTTCCTATTAATCATTTATAAAACACAGTGTTGTATCATAAAAACAAAGCGTTAAAGCGCCTTGATTACTGTTATCAACCTTTTTACATGTAAGTTGTGCACTAAAACAAGTGGCTCGATTGAGGACAGTTTACTATGACTTTTACGAGCGTTACAAGAGATAACGCAGACAGAATAATCAAAAACAAATAAACTATGGAGATAAATGGGATTTTGGTGGAACAGATGTGAAAACCCAGCTCTGCAGCTCAGGCGTTCTTCACTGTAAAAACATTCAAATTTTTAGCAGAAAGTTTGACTAAACTGGCATTTGGTAAGTTTGTTTTCTCCATGGAAAAATTAATGATGACACACAGTAATGTTTGGTAACGTTTAAAATGTTCATACCTTTTTGGAAACAACTTTTTTTTTTAAAATATACTAATTATCCATCAGATTTTAGGCATTTGTGTTTTCTTTCACCCAGTGTCTCACTGCTTTAGGACTGATGGTTTTCTCACAGGCAGCATCTTTATCTTATTGTGCTTAAATCTTGGTCCTTTATGGTTCTTATACAGTAATTCAAAGTGATTCTTGGGCAGTAGCTCTTCAAAATTACAAATGAAAGTTCTCGTTTTGAAAGCTATTGTTTTACCTGAAACGTTGTTGCAGAAGTCTGAAAGAGAAATAAAAGTTTTATTTTGAACAAAGCATCCAGACCATCAACAGTGAACATGATGGGAACAAAAACAACCGACTCAGCACCAACCCTGGCCGTCTGTTTCCACACCTGATCTCATCTTTTTATTCTCCTCAGGTCCAGTCCAAGCCAGAGAGGAGACCGGGGACACCCCCGCCAACCCCTGCTGCAACTACATCCGCCCCCGCGCCGCGCTCACCGAGCCCTCCTCCCGCGCCGCTGATAGTCACCCCCCCTCCCCCCGCCATCAACATTCCCAGGTTCTACTACCCCCGTGGGCTCCCTGCCCCTGGCCCGGCTGCAAACCACGACGCGGTCATCGCTGCCATAGAGACCGCATTCGCCGAATTCGAAGAGGAGAAGGCCGACATTTATGAAATGGGCAAGATTGCCAAGGTGAGAAGTTTCAGCAGAAACATGATGATGATGTGAAAACACTCCGCTTTGGGTTTCAGTTACATGTGTTTTGTCCTCCTGAAGTGAAGAAGTCGCCTCACGTGGTGGTAAGACGTTCCTTTTGGCACCCCGACACACGGTGCAGAGCTGCTGGGAAACCCCTCCTGCTGCTCTACACGTCACACACGCCAGGGTCTCCACTCCGTCCCTGTATGTTTGACTTAATCTGTCACAAAGTGAGGGCCACTTTTCAGCAGACAGACTCCTCCACGCACAATGTTCTGCCTCCATCCAGGAGGTTTTGATCGTGCGTTTATCTTTATACATGTTTCTGGAAGAGAATATAGATGGACGACAGCTGCTTCTCAAAACAGTCGGATTCTGGAAGCCGAGCAGTTGAAGCCAAATGATTGCTGTCTGAGCACCACATAAACAAACAGGCCTACAAACGTCTGACAAATCACACAACACTGTAGGCGTTTCTGCACGGCACACTCTGGATGGGGTTCACATACGGGTTTGGCATTTTTGCATTAGTCCTTCTGGCCCAGGTCCAGCCCGATTTCTGTAACCTCGAGAGCTGTGGTTCCAGTCAGGCACAGCTGCTCAATGATTGGTTCACTGACTGGGGGGCTACATCACACAGATGAGAGTAGCCTTACGTGTATGGTGTGACACTTGTGCCATTGGCAGTAACACTCATTTGAGAGCAGATATCAATATGAACAAACAATAATTTGAACCGTGTGCATTCAAATCACACACACGCTCACACAGCTCTCTCCCTGCTTGCTCAACTCTCTTCCTGCTTGTGCTCGACTCCCTCCCTCCTCTCAACTTTATGTCTGCTCCTGCCGTTCCCCCCTCCTCTCAGCGTCCCCTCTGCTCGCTCGCAGCTGTCTCTGCACTCTCAACCCAAAAGTTATATGTAAATGAACCACATCACCAGCCAATCAAAGACAGGCTTTTTTTTATCCAATCAAAGCACTCATTGGAAATCTACTAAACCAAGAGGCTGAAGTGACAAAAACTTATGTACAGGCCCATTAAAGCAGCAAAAGATAATAATAAGATATATTTTATATATTTTGTAGCCCAGAATATTTAGTTAAACATAAAAATATGCTTACTGTCGTTGTGTATTTTAGACAATGCATCTCAGTAATCCAGGGAATAAAAAACCACAAGTTTAACTAAATTATCTTTTTGCAAAAGCTAATATATTTAAATTTAAACATTATCTTTTGCCAAAAGATAATATAGTTAAATTTTGTAGCCCAACAATATTTAGCTAAGCATAAAAATGTGGTCACTGTCATTGAATATTTTAGAAAATATTTTTAAAATACTTTAGGATTAGGATACTTGTTGGTTTTGATATTTGTAGATAATCAAATTAAGCACTCTTGATACAACCAAATATCAGCAATGAAGAGGGATTAATAAATTAATTTGAATATCTACAAATAATATCAAAACCAACAGTAATTTATCTTAATGTAATTAAAAATACTGCCTTTAAGAGCCTAATAATAATAACAATTTAAAAAGTTAAGTACTTTAC